ACGAAGGAAATAACCAGTACACCAAAGCCATTCCTAAAATAGAGGTTATCTAAATTAGAGATATGCGTAAAAGACATAAGAAAATATAATGCTACTTACAGGGCCCTGATGATAATTCCATCCCTTAGCAATCGATGGATCAGTACCATCATTGTTGTTATCATAAACACCGCGATATGCCCAATCATTTGGATCAAGAGTACGCATTCCTAACGGTCCAGCTAATATCTCACGTGCAATATTCAATGCTTGAAGTGCATAATGTTCATCAAATAGTTCAGGTGCCTGTTTTTGTTTAAAAATGTAAATATAATAATATCCTAAAAGCATAATTAGCTTATTAGAAATTATGCATACCACAACCATAGCAATTGGAAAGTTTGGTCTCAATTGGTAACCTTCATAATCTCTAGAAGAATTACACAAGTCCCTATATATGCCCCTACGGCTAACTAATTTGGAGTTTAATTTGTACTTTGAATCTTCATTTGGGTCTAATTTAAACAGCAAAAGGAATAATCAGGATTAAATTTATAAAGTTAATTTGGTAACTAAGTAATGCATTAAATCCAACCGATGGGAATATAGAAATGTTTCTCGAACGACTTTTGGATTAAATCATTCCATTCGGCAAACGTAATAAATTTCTTCGTAGGATTATCTACATTAGTTAAAAAAAAAATTTATCAAGTCATCAAAAATTTCTATTGAATATGCAGAATTAACATGCCATTAGGGTGTGCAAAAAAAAGCCCGTATGATTTCGGAATTTTTAAGGGTCGTAAATATAGTGTTACACGATTGATGCATAAGCCGAGATCAGTATGTGTAATAGTATGATAAACTAACTTTCAGCAGACAACTCTATTTGTACTTCACGCGTACCTGCTGCGAGTGGTATGCCTTCAAAGTCAAACGGGTCGGGCCCAACAGGCCGGCCCGTAGGCCCGACCCGTTTGACTTGAAGGCTTGCCACTCGCAGCAGGTACGCGTGAAGTACAAATGGAGTTGTCTGCTGAAAGTTAGTTTATCATACTATTACACATACTGATCTCGGCTTATGCATCAATCGTGTAACACCATATTTACGACCCTTAAAAATTCCGGGCTTTTTTTGCACACCCTACATGTCATTAATGTAAAATACATTATTGTATACCTTTGAGTTCAATACCATTCCACGGATAATGACCATTTTTATTTAATTCTGTTATCCATCGCAAAGTAGATTTTAATAGTCCAATAATCTCGACCGCTGCACCGTCTCTTGGTGTTGCCGGTTGACCTTTGTTTCCAGCTTTTTCTGATTCTCCCATCTTGTCCATCCAAGTACCACAATTCCATTGGTTTCCACCATTTAAAAAGCCAGTTTCCCAATCAACGTCAATATCAACATAGAATCCTTTATCAGTCATAGCATGATCAAGATTAATGCCTGCATTCCATTCTTTGAAATGAATTCCACGAGCATGACGCTCCATTATTTCTTGAATAATCTCAAGAATAGTAACTTCATATTTATAGGATTGAGGATCATCTGCTTCAATAAATTCATCGTTTTGGGGAAATCGTCGGATAACAGGCGTCTTAAGAAAATCTAAACCTTCCGGAGAGAATTTACAATAATCCTGTATTGATTGTAAATACCACCAAGGAGCATCACGACAATTATAACGTGGTCGACGCGCAGCATCCAATAAATTAGGAATCATTCCGTGTTTAAGTACACTACCAAATCCAATTATGTGCTTTTTAGCAGCTTCAAAATTACCCGTAGTAAGGAACAAACCACGCAATGAAATAAAAACATCACGTCCCCAACATCTCATATGGCTGGTAGCAAAATGAGGCAACCCCGCAGCCATCGATGGACCAATTTCTGTAGGGTGTAATCCAGTAGATAAAACTATTCCGTACATTTGCACTGAACACAAAGCAAGTGATTGGATAAACAAGCTTCCCTCATATGCACAAGGTGATAACTGTGCCATAACTCGTTTAATTGCTGCAGAATATGCCGTCTTCATAACCAAAAAAAAATATTTTGGAACTAAAAAGCCCGGTACTGTCTTTACAAGGGCAAATCTTTCTTGATACCAATCGCATAGTCTTTTAAGATTTGGTACGTACTTCAAATGTCTAATAATAAAATATTGTCGTATTATAGTCAGCCTCGCCATATAATTCGTAAAAAAAAGCATTATATGATTACCTAACAAGACGGTCCACAATATAGTCTAAAGCCCAATGACCTTCACGTAAGTTGTTACAAAACGGATGACCCAAGTCATTTTCTTTCATTATTGGACGTAAAAGTGACATAAAGCCCTCTAAACCACAATACGGTAAATTACCAAAACCAGGCACTTGGTATGTGCCATGACCAGGCGTAATATCATTTTCTTCGCTATCACATCGATATAATACTATATTCAGATCGACCAAATTTAATTCTTGAAAAGCTCCGTCAACATCTGATATAAGAGTTTCATCCAAAGATTTATGGTTATCCACCTCCGTTTCAAGCAGCGTGACACTGCCAGAGGGAAATTCTTTTGGCAGTGTAACCTCAGTATATTTTCCGCGTTCATCAGATGTTTCATGTAATGTGGGAGTATTAAGTGGTTTAAGTGATGCGGGGAGTCCCGTAAGATATTTTTCATCACGAACAAATTCATCGGATTGGACCTCCAAATTTGTAGAAAAGAGAACTTTGGCCTTTGTACCTCTTAACTTGACAGGAGAAACTGGTGAATAAACATAAGGCGAGAACATGAATTGAGAAGGAGCAATTATTTAACAACATATAAGAGACATTAATGCTTACGATTACAACTACGTTTTGGAGGACCAGAGAAAGCGCAATGTGCGATTAATAAATATCCATTATGATTTTGTGGATTAACACGATGAACTATAATACACTAACACCAGACAGATAAAGCAGTTAAAATTAATCAAATAGAAATGCAGTGGCTAATTCCATTTAACTTACATCATTTTCGTGATGCACATGGGTTTCTGTATATTCATCTAACGACATTTCAACGTGCAAATGCTGTAATACTTTTTTAACTAAAATTATGTGTATAAAATAAATATATGCAATTAAATTGGGACAAAATTAAAGAAAATCTCGGAATTCACTTACCTCTTCCTATACCAGTTTCAAGAGGCTTCTCATACAATTTATAAAGTCTATTTTCTTTTACTAAATCAACTATTTTTGGATAAATTTCATCATATCCTTTGACACTTCCAATAGCACAAGAACTCATTGCAACAAGTGCACCATTTGATAAAGAGTCCTCAGCAATTCTTTTTTGATGAGGCGTTTCATTATCGTGAGTACAATCCATAAAAAGCGCGTGTGGATTGGAGCCTGTCAAGGGAACTACAAAACAAGATGTCTCTGAAGATTCATCAACGTTTTTACAAGTTGATGTGTCCGTAAGACATTCTGCATCTATAGACCCTTAATTTAGTAATAAGTAAACCAATATAAGCTCTAATACGATATCCTAATGTTAAAGATCAATTAATTAACATACGATGTGTATACTTACCAACAGGTTTTCCGCCGTGTCGATGAACTAGTCTACTTAACTCGTGCGAATCCCAAGCTTGCATAGCCTCTCTAATGAGAGAATTAATGCCCAGATGATTTACAAATTTTATGTCCATCTCTTCCGAGCCGGTAAATAACTCTGCGACAACATAAAGGTTTGGACGGACGCGACGGGCGGCGTCGAGAAGATATTGTCCAACATGGAGTGGAGTAGAATGACAATTATCAATACGGAACCCATGGAAAAGTGATGCAAGCTGTGTAGTATATTTTAACATATGATCCCAAAGCCAAGGCGAATCATCCTATAGGAATATAACAGCCATAAAGTATTAAAGACAAAACTATAAGATATACTAACAGGCAATATTGGATATAATGTTTATCATTACCCTGCTTTTACCATATCTTAATTTCACACAATCACCCCAAACGATCACTTCCCTTCGTAAATAGGCAAATGATTCGCTACTTGCAAAATCCTGCATGGGATTTGCATTCCAGATCCAGCCATTATTTACAACAGCCAGACTTCCTTTTGGATACTTTTGCGTTTTTTCGTTAAGCGGAATACGAGTAAAATACCGTTCAACGAGAGGAACACTGGTAAATTTATCACATATTAATTTTAATTAAATCAACTACAAAATCTACAAACTATACAAAATTACTGAATTACCGTCGAGAAATTTCTTTCTGTTTTGGTCCGTGAGGATCAAGTTTTAAATACTTGGCGCGATTCCATATATTTTCAAGAATTATGGCAGCTTCTTCATCATATAACTTATAAAATGGCAAGTTTATTTCGTTGACAATGGCTTCGAATTTTTTC